AGTAAAAATCTGTACACAGGTAGTCATATAAAAAATGGGATAAGACTCAACAAGTTTTCTGCATCGGTGAATGAGAACATAGTGTGGACATGCTCCAAAAATTTGAGCCAGCTTCGAATTCCAAGAGCATGACAAGGGGAAAGTTAGGGAATTTTTACTATAAAGCCTCTGTTTACATACAGTTAATGTACAACTATTATTGATGATCACCTTTAGGAAATGAAAGCCTTGAATTTTTGAAATGAAAGTGATGTCTTCAGTTATGTCCCCCCATGGGGATTTATGACCTCCTGGAGCCCTTCTTTGGGCTCTCCAAGGAGAGGAATACAATATACTGGGTATATATAGCAGCAAAAACAGCTGATCTCGGTGGGGCAAGATTACAATTTTTTCCAGCACATGTAACTGGGTGGATTTATATTCTCTTTTTTTTTTATTAGTAGCTTTATGTTTATTTTGGGGGATTATTTTTTTTATCCTGGAGCTGAAATTGTTTGTTCGTTTTAACAAGCTTGCTCAGCTCAGTCTAATGAAACCTTCCTGGGTGTTTAGTTGATGGAAAGCCCAGGTTTAGATATCAAGCACCTGCAAAATAAATGCACCCATTATCCTGCAGCTAATTGTCAGAATGACAGTAGTAGGCTGAACAGCAAGTCTTGGGAAATCACTTCAAATGGAAAAGCACAGTCCTTGGCATTCCAATCCCAAATCTCAGTTGGATATGAAAAGCTCTGAATTAAAAACCCATTAAAGAAGAAATCAGGACACTTGGTTTCAAAGGTTTAGTTTTAGGATTAAAAGCAAGTGGAACCTGTTTCATGCTTCCCTATGGTATAAGGAATTTCTCAGCACAAATAGCCAATTCTCTGAGGAATAGTACATTTAGTATTTTGACAGGGCATGAAGTAGAAGGATCCAGGGATCTTTAGCTGAAATGATATGTGGCAAATTACCTTGCTTAGCAGTAGTATCCACAGTTATCTGCAGATTTATGCAGGTGGCAAGGGGTCTTGATAAAACAATTGCTATTTATTCAGAGTTTACTGGGCTCTGGCATATAAAAGCCACAGTGAACACTGTGCCTGAGGCAGACAGACTGCATGGCTTGTTACTGTAATCCAAAATGTTCAGACAGTTCAGGAATAGTTCTAATAAATCCTAAATACCTTTATTCTAGGCTCAAGCTTTAATTGTCAGTTGCCTGAACCTCCTATTCTTTGGATTGCTAATGACTGCTCACGACACAGCATTTTTGTGATTCAGCTTGTGATGTACAATTTATTTTATCTGTATTGTCTTCCTTAAGGGAAAATCCACACCAGGAAAGCCTCTATTCTGCAAGGCAAGGGTTCCATTCTATCCAGGAGCCCAGCCAAGAAAACTTTTGTGGCCTACCACCTAGTTTTTACCAGCCACCCATCCAAAGCCAGTTATCACCAACAAAAACCCAGGACAGCCGCGAAACCTCTCCTATGAGTGTCCCCAACCTCCCATCCGTTTCCTCCATGTGCCAACCAACCATGTTTAACTACGAACGTCCAAAACACTTTATCCAGTCTAAGAATGTGTGTCAAGGGCAGCAGCAGCCTCCAGGACCCGCAGCCTCCGCGGAGTCGAGCAGAGAGATCAAACAGTCCTCCATCCTCATTCAGCCTCGCAACCCGAGCGGGCAGAAATTCTCCTCCTCGTCATCGCTGAGCTCTTCAATCACGCTCTCCTCGCCTTCCTGTAGTGCCCCCAAGGAATCCACATATCCCATCACTCCTGCATCTGCACAGTCTCCTGCTAGCTCATCATCTGGGCAGAGGCTTATACCCATGCCTAACCAATCCCCCGCAGCATTCCTGTGCTCAGTGCTCCCCTCGCAGCCCGACTATAACAGCCAAACTCCTTCTCCCATGGAACCTCAGTAAGTATACACAGCCTTCTAACCTCCCCCTGCTTCCCTCCGGCCTGGCCTCTCCCGTGCACTGACCATCCCAAATCCAACCACCCCACGAAACACCAGCTGGGGCCAAAGCCAATGGCACAGCTCCCACTGACTTGCCGTGTTCAGGGCAGGACTCTGCAGGAGTCGGGTTAGGAGGCTGAGCTTTGCCCCTGGTGACTGCGTGGGAGAGATGGGTGTCCATCAGGAATTAAACTGCACAGCTGTGTGGGTTTTCTGGAGTCAGTTTGAGTAGTTTAGTTTGATTTGAAAGAAATCTCTTAATTAGGGTTATTCAGAGCAGAGGATTGACACCCATCTCAAATTAATTTCCTCAACGAGCATGGCTTATGAATGGGGAGATGGGGGAAGGCAGTAGTACTTCCCACATATAAACAACTGGGAGAATTGTCTAGTAAGTCTCAGCAGTGTTTTCAGGTTCCACATCATGGTGAGACTCTACACTCACCTACAATACCCTTTCCATTAATCATACGTGCAAACAGAAAGGCAGCCACTTGAAAATATTACCCCTTTAGACCAAAGACTAAATTCTTTCCTGAATATGTATTATATCATTTTGCCTTTGGGCTGCAATCCAAATATCTCCCAAGGTCAGTGAGATCTCAAAGGGAGCTGGGCCTTGCCTTCTCACCAACTTGTATTCCTGCCAATATTAGCTGGAGGTCCTGGGGAAAGTCAGGGCAGAATATGCACAAACACTCAACTGGAAATATTAGAAAGGTGATAGGGGCAGGGGTCCTGCTGGCCTGGATATAAATCAAGGTTTAAGTGTCAGCTTGCATTCAGGTAACCTGAATGTTTCTGGGGGTTTTCTGAATCACAGCACTGTGGGAAGAGGGAAGGTAAGACAGACCGGGTGAGCTGGGGCTCTCAGGAGTGTTTGCTAAACTCCTGCAAGAGTGTGGGGCATTAGAAACACATGTGGAGTGACTGCTGGAGTTTGTGTGCATAGTGTGGGGTTGTTTGTTTCCATAGCAAAGGGTGTGGGTGCCTCACTATGCTTTTCAGATAAGCTGCTCTTAAATGCAACACCCGGAGAGTTGAGGAATTATTTTCCCAATCACGTTACTAATGGGCAAACAGGGACATGAGACATATTAATCTGTTGGCAAATTATTAAAGTTTTTAAGTTATAACTTAAGCAAGTTATTAAGTCCAAGCCGTGCTGGGAGTATTCCAGAATTATAACCCTTCTACCCTGCTCTAATGAGCAGAATTCCCAAGTGACAGGGGGAAGAGGATTTTCAATAGAAACAATTTCTGAACCCAAGTGCAGCACACGAGGGCTGCTCATCACAAACAGGGTCATAGATCCTGTCAGCACAGAGTGCTGTGACCTCCAGCAGACCTTTGCAACCCCTTTTGATGGATGCTCCTCTTTTCCCAGAATCTTTCAGAATCAAATGTACTATCCAACTCCAGGAGTTGATCATGTCTGTTGGCTATGGATTACAGGACCAGGATATGGGAGGGGCACGACACAGGGATGCTGAACAATGAGTGTTGTGGGAGGACACTCAATGACTTGGCTATGCCATGATGCTTCCCCTTAAGTTTTTGATACCCGGCCTGGCCCATTCATCTCCCAGATGCTTTATGGGTTCATTTGAACCACAGTTTTTAGGAGGCAGGTTCGCATTTTTGTGTGCATTCAGTGAAGCTGCAGCAAACAGCCCAGCAGGCCCACGGGAGTAACTTTGTTTTCTCTTCCTGCACGAGCAGTTACTCCCAGCCAATGTATAACAAACAAGCCAGCATCAACTCTATGCAGAAGACATCAGACCAAGAAATTAGAGGAACAAAAGAGGCCCTCATTCAGGACTTGGAAAAGAAACTCCGATGCAAAGACAACCTTCTCCAGAACGGCAACCAGGTAAGGGAAACCTGCTGGTTAAAGAGACATTTGATGGGACTCTCAGTAGTGCAAGCAGAGATGAGTTCTAGTACCCCAGAGGCTGGAGCCTCCAAACTGAGCTAAAAGGAAAAGGAAATGCAGGAGCAACACTGCCCAAACACCTCTACTCAGAACCTCAGCAGATCCCACGAGAGTTCTTTGAGCCATTTACAAACAGAATATTCTTTCAGGGTGATGTGGCTGAACTTTTCCATTAGAAAAGTTAAAAAAAACATCTCTTCCAACAGCAACTCCATTTCTAATCATGGGTCAGGGGTGGAGAAAAAGGTGTGGTTTAGAAAGACTTGCATCCAACCTCTTCATTTCCCAGCACCTTTTCACAGTTATTTTTGGTATTAGAATGCAAATAGCTGCTCTGGTGGGCCAGACTCAGCTCAGGACCAAGAAGGCCCTTCCCAGTAGAGGAGCAGCACATGGGCAGTGCATGATGGAAGCCTGAATGTGTGGCAAGAGAGATGGTTGCTGTGAGTGTGTCTGTGGGCATTTACTGTGGCAGCTGAATGTCTGCATCTCCCCTGACTTTGGTAAGGGATGTGTTGACTTCTGAAAGCCATTTGATACAGCAATGTGGCTTTGAGCTGCTATTGCCTTTCCCTCTTATCCTGCAACCAAATTAAGTCCAGGCTCAACAGAAAGGTGTGTGTTTAGAGCTGTGGCACAAATTTAAACTCTCAGTTGGGGATCCTGCTGAACATCATATCCACACACAACTAGAAACCCAAGGAGAACCCCTCAGTTCTGCAGATATGATTACACCCTGGCTTTCAACACTGGGGTTAACAAACCACTCAAAATCATTAGAACTTGGTGAAATATTGGAATATTTGAAAGCTCATTCTAGAGACTACCACCACATATGGTAAACTTCTTCGATTTCTTTTTATATGAACAGCAACAAATGAAAGAAATTACGTGAGCTTTTATCATAAAGTCTGTCTCCTATAAGAAGGCCTCAGCCTCAGCACTTAATTATTTATTCTGCAGAGGGGCAAAATGCAATCCTCTTTACCAAGGAAACCAAATCTGGGAGAAAAATTTGCTTACCAGTAGGGAAGCCCATTGCAGCAAGCTAGAGTGAACAGGTCTGTAATGTGGGAACCTTCCTGCAGCTGGAGGCAGACTGGTAAAAGCCCAGTGTTTATAGGTTCCATCTTCTTTCCCCTGAAGCAGAAAGGAGTTTTTTCATTATCATCAGTGAGAACACATTTGTGTGTAATTTTAAATACTGAAGGGGAAAACAAATAGGTTAAATCTGACTTAATGTGTTCCTAACAGGAATGTCCTATCTGCTGGGAGAAGGCTTGTTGTAGCAAGTCAGCTTTTCTTCCCATAGGAAGCCAGGCTAAAAATAAGGCTTATGCAATCACCACTCTGTGTCCTCCTCCCCTTGTCCTCCAGCAGCGTCTGACCCCACTGGCCAATCTCAGCCACACTTGATACAGACGTAAGGACTCAGGGTTATTAAGCCCTCACAGGTTTGGCTAAAGGTCTCGTGCTCTCTTCTAAAGAAAAGTCCCACAAGCCTCCCCAGCCTTTACCTACCCAGCAGACACACACACACACACACACACACACACGTCTTGTTCACAGCAGAAATTCAGCCCGAGTTTGTCCGCACGTCACAAAATCCAAACTCAAACTTTGTGGGCAGAGAAGTGTCAGGTGTTCTGGTGCTCAAGGGAGTAACAAACTCTTCTAAAGTAACCCAGCTGACAGAGCTTGAATTTAACTCTGCTCATTTTTATCACTGTGTACCACATCTATTTTGCAGGAACTTTCTGTTTCGTGCCTGAAATGTGTCCTTGCCTCCCCTACACTCAGCACACAGCATTTCAACCAGTGGATGCTGCACTGGCATAAAGTTCCCTCGTGCTTTCAGGAGTAGTGCTGCTCCCCTCTGGCTGTGTCTGCTTCTGGTGTGGCTCTTGCTTTTTTGGGAGCAGGGGATGCCAAGCATCCATCATGCCTGTAGCTCCACAGCTGAATGACTTGGGAAGTTTTCCCAGTGCTAACAGAGAGGTACCCTGGGACTTAGTCTGGCTTCTGAGGATGATGCCATCAGTTACCCATAAATAATCCCAGCAGAGAAAGAGGAGGAGTGGAAGGCCACAGATGGCATTAGAGAGGCTTTGATGAACAGGCAGTTTAATCTTTTCTGCATTTCAGTGCTGTATATATTGAGCTGACTTCAGTGGGCATCACAGACCGCAAACCCTCCGGGCCAGACGTGGGGCTTCTGTTCAGCTGCTGCTTTTATTGACAGCACCCTGAATTCGTGGCATATTAATGTGCTCTTACAAGCTGATCTGAAATAGTAAATGGACTTCTGACTAGAATTCCTCTCCACTCTGCTTTAGAGATTAACTTATGAAGAGAGAATGGCTCGCAGGCTGCTCGGACCAGTGAATGCTGCCTCTGTGCTGGAAACACAGAGTGAGGACAACATGCAGAATGCACAGGTAAATGAGGACCTGTCTCTAGAACAAGGATTTCCTGGTGATTGTGCTGTGACCTGCTCCTACCTGAATGGGGCAGAGATGGGGGTTGTTTGGTACCAGTGTGGGGAGGGGGCGGCTCTCCCTGGCAGAGCTCTGTACAGGAGAGATTTGGGGCTCTGGGGGGTGGTAGGAGAGGGGGGGAGAATTTAAGCACCATTCCCTTGCTGGGCCTGATCTGTAGGAATGACCTCTCCAGGGAGGAATTACAACAGCTGCTGCACAGCCTGGGACACCCTGGCTGTGACAGGCAGGGAGCAGCACGGGGAGGGATCCAGGTACCCAGTGCAGGCTTGGCCAGGAGAGCAACATTACACCTGTCACTGACAATGTCAGATAAGTGGCATTGGCTACAAGAGGTCAGGGCCTTGGGGTGGGATCAGATGGGCTTTAGCCCTTCTGGGGGTCTGCAGTCATTGAGAGAAAGCAAAGCAGTTATTTTAGCAGCCCACATGCTGATAGACAAGAATCTATTACTAATGGCATTTTCAAAAGAGTTTCAGTTGGAGACTTGCATCATTTGCTGGTTATTCAGGCCGGTTTGAAGCTCTCTTTGGCACTTCTGTGCTCAAAGTTAGTGGAAATGTCCATGGTATGGCACTGGGTACCTGTGCAGCCAAAGAAAACATCCCTCCTGCTGCTGCAGCAAAGAGCCAGGAGCAGGCAAACACCTGCCAAAGTGCAGTTAGCAAAACTCCTCCATGTAAGAGACACTTAAGATCACAGCAAGGGAGGAATACACAGTTTGAGCTATTTCTCCCCAACAATCATCTGGCAACAGTAGGCAAGAAGGGAAAATTATGGATGTCAGACAGCAAGGGAAGCCTTATCCTTTGCAGAGAACAAGGAAGCATTCAGTCAGAATAGGATGACTGACAACTTTTCGGCATGGGTGAAATGCTGCTTTAAAGAAGAATATTGGAAGCAGAGATTGGCTCATGTTTGGGATATCTTATTCCCATTGTTCAGTCTTATTTTTAAATTGATTCATTCAGCCTGCTGATTCCTCAGGAACTTAACTACACAGTCAGTTCATGTAACAGATCATTAGAATCATCAGCAACTTCATCACTACAGCATCATTTCACAAGACAAGTAGTAACTGTACAGAGTAAGTGAGCAGATCCAGGCAACTGCCTTTGGACTCAGCACTGAACTCAGTCCAGCAAAACCCTCGTCCATGTAACACTTCCCCTGAACTGAAGGCTGCTTTGTGCTTGAACTTTAAACCCAGGCTTAAATGTTCCTCAGGACTGGGCTGCAGAGCACAGAACCAAGCACTGGAATGGCTCAATGCAAACACTCCAGAAATTTCCATGCAGTGTTTGCTCTCTCTGACTCCATTGCTAAAACGAGGCGCTGGCAGCAAACTCTGCTGCATTTTCCAAACATCCAGGCTCCTAACAGGAATCAATCCTGGGTACTTTGGCAGATTTAGTCATGTGATTGTGGAGTTGTCAGCAAGCTTAGTTGGTGCTGTGATCTAGAAAGAAAAGTATTTTCCAGCTCAGCAAGTGTCCATGGCTGTTGGTACCATATTTAAGTGGGCACAATACAACGCTCCTGCCAGCGACTCCTCTTCTATTCCTGCTATGGGGAAGGACACTCTGTACTTAGCTCTCATTTTAGACACTGCCAGTAGTACTGCTCCTCTCTAACAAGGGTTACTGGCTGGCCCAGAGCCTCGTGTGCCAAACCAGACTGCACCTCTCACCTGTGCAGTGATGAGAAGTTCTGCCCTTCTATTCATGGCACTTGTCACTGTCATGGCAAAGCCTACGCTGAACACAGAGGGTGTCAGGTCCTGATGCCACTTCATTCACCTCTTGTCCCAGTGACTTCTGAAGTACAGTCAGTTTGCTTTTAAGCAGCAGTCAGTATAAAAACTTAAAATGGCTTCTTGTTCAGTTTATAGATAAATCTTTGTAAGTGAACTCACCTCTCCTCTTTCTCTTTCCAAGCACCAGAATGCAGAAAACGTCAGGCTGCAGGTTCCTACAACACATGTAAGGTAAAGCATGAACTTTATGCTATTCTTCAAGACTTTATTTCAAATGTTTCTAGGCAGTGTTAGTTTAACTTCACTACTTGTCCCTTTTTCTAAAGTAGTAATTACCAAACTTTCTCACTTCCTTTCAACTAAAATGCTGCTGTTTGTGGATGGTTGATGATGCCTATGATCTTAATCCAGTGAATTCTAAGCATAGCACTGAAGGTTTAAAAACTCCATGCACCTTGGGAAAATACTCTTTGTATTCTAGAAGGCTAATTTCTACTCAAAGCAAGGGCTGAGAATGCAAATGTTGAAACACAGCATGACAGAACACAGCCTCCACAATTCTTGTCAATTCTTTTGGATATTAGGCCAAAGATGAAGGTTATGCCTCTGTGTTGAATTGAACAACCTGAGCAAGAGAAATGGTTGCTCAAAAGCCACACCTTGCAGCTGAAAAACCAACCAGAACTGTAGTTTTGGATTCCTGAATGTGTCGTATTGGATTCCTAAATGTGTTGAGGGACTCCAGCTGCAATCAGAGCTTCAGTGTCATTTGTGCTACGGTAACTTTTACACAATTACCTGTTTCTGTCCCATTTTTAGGAGCAGACCATCCTCAAGAGGAGATGAACGTGGACATGACTCAATCCAGGAGAAGTTTTTCCAGCCCCGTTTCACACAAGTGCCTGAGGATGTGGTTATTGAGGAGGGGCGGTTCTGCAGGCTCGACTTCAAAGTAACACCAACTTCTCCCTTCCCATTCCATTCCCTCTTGGGGTTTGGGGCGTGGAGAGAGGTCTCTGAGCCCAGAGCACTAATGGCAGGTGGTGCAGGGTCTCCCTGTTTGATGTAAACCAAGAAATAGGAGATGGCCAAATGTTTCAGCATTTTCCCTTGGCAAATGTAAATGGAATTAGCTGCGTAAGAATACGGTGAAAGCTAAATATTGGTAAATGTGGATCACCACAGATCTCCCTGGGAAGAATGAATATTAATGCTCTGCTGAAAAATAGGCATTTTGGCAGGGAACCTTGTGCTTTGCACTGGGATTCCACTACTTCAGTGGACACATCCTGGACACACACCCAGTGAAGTCTGTCTAGGACCAGCCTGCCTTTAATGAGTCTTCCCTGAAGCAACTGTGCCCTTGCTGGAACAGACAAGGTTTTTATTACCTTAAAGCTGTTCAGCTCTTCACTGCTTTCCTCTCCCTCACAGGTGAGTGGGCTGCCCACTCCAGATGTGATGTGGTACCAGAATGGAAGGATGGTTCATCAGGATCAGTTCCATAAAATGATAGTGTCAGAAAAGGGATTCCACTCGTTCATTTTTGAAGCAGTCAAATCATCTGATGCAGGGGCATACGAATGTGTGGCTGTGAACCGTGCAGGAGAAGCATCTTTCACAGTGAAAGTGGAAGTAATTGGTAAGACTGAGAGCACTGATAATTACTTGGCAATGCCTTCCTCTCTGCATTTGGGACATTAAACAATTAAGAAGCAGAGGGAGCCCTCCAGACATTCAGGCTCAAACAATAACAAACACCTTATCTTTTCTAAGGCTATTTTAATAAATATATCTGAGATGCCACATTTCTTCAAAGCACTTATAGCAGGATATTTAGACATAGTGGGATGTCCAGAATTTAATTTAATTAATGTCGTTAATCTCTGAGGGTTGATAACATATATTAATTGACTCTCCTTCTAAAGTGGATTGTGTTTATTACACCCTTATGCTCCTGGGAATTGCCTGCAGGCTGAGGAGATGCAGTAAGGAACATGTGTCCTGCTGAAGTTAGCATTCTGAAATCTTAAAGCCTGAGTGTGATATGAGCATTCCACGCTTCCAGTAACTCCTCCTTATCTTTCCTCTTTAATTTAGCAAAAGAACATCACATGCCTCCAACTTTCATCTTCAAGCCACAGAGCAAAAAGGTTTTCGAAGGAGACACAGCCAGGCTGGAATGCCAGATCTCTGCCATCCCAACCCCTCGGATTTACTGGAAAAGAAACAACGAAATGGTACAATATAATACAGACCGAATAAGGTACCCCGCTGATGAGTTGGCCGTTGGTGTGTTAGAAAACAATAACCGGTATCTGTTAATTCAAATTTAAAATGGGCTGGTTTCTAAAAGCAGCAGGCTGGAAAGCTGGGCCTGCCCCTCGTGTGCATGGCACCAGGGGCACAGATCACTGTGCCGGGCAGGAGCAACCCTGAGAGCCTTGTTCTGAGGGCACAGAAGTGCCCAGATGCATGCCCCTGTGGAGAAGCACAGCTTTAGGACGGAAACGTGGAGTGTTTCCTCATGCTCTGAGGCTGTGGGGCTACATGACACCTGAGCTGTGTCACGATGTGAATCACTGGTGGCTCGTAACACAAAACACAGCATTTGTGTCTGCACAGTTTGCAGTGCCCTGCAAGAATTGTTCTGGGGCTTCCTCAGCGTGTAAACTGACTCTGATTTCAACATCTCCCCTCCTTCCCCCTCAAAGCACTGACACGCGAACACCTTCATTTTTCAGCTTGCTCCATGACAACACCGGGAGGATTTGCCTCCTGATCCACAATGCAAACAAGAAGGACGCTGGCTGGTACACTGTGTCTGCTGTCAACGGGGCAGGAGTGGCCACGTGCCACGCCAGGCTAGAGGTTGCAAGTAAGTACCAGGTCACAGTGCCACAAAAAAGTGCACCTGTATTCAGAACAGGCCCTCAAGATTAACCTCAAGAAGCTCAGACCGCTGGGAGGATTTCTTCCCAAAGATACTGAACTGGACAGAAGTAACTATCCTGTGAAAATCTCTTTTGTTTAGTACCAGGACACTGTGCTGTGTCCTTTGCCCTGTTTGAAGACTATAATTTGATTGGCACCAGGAAGGAGGGTGAATTTAAGTCTCTGGTGTCTGAGATATGGGCTTGTGTGTTAAATTCTTCCCAGGGGTTTGTTGGTTTATGCTGCAAATTAAAAGCAATTGGGTTGCTCTAATGTGGGTCTTGCTACAGTCTGGGAAGACACTGAAAGAGGCTTTTTTTATTCTATTCCAGCACATGCAAATAAGCCACTTCCAGCCCCAAAGCAGTTACGGGTTCGACCAACTTTTAGCAAGTATTTGGCACTTAATGGAAGAGGACTGGATGTGAAACAAGCTTTCTCACCAGAAGGAGAGTTTCAGCGTTTGGCTGAGCAGTCTGGACTGTATGAAAGTGATGAACTTTAACTGGAAATGAAGAGGAAAACTCACACCTATAAGAGACAGTTACAACATAGATGCAGTTAATTGGTGATTGCTCTAATTAGCAAAATACCTATCTACATATTTTTACTTTGACTCTTGCACACTCAGCTGTTCCCATTTTACCCTGTTAGATTTTATTTATATGGTTTGGTGACTATAACCATTAACTGAGTATTGCATTTGAACTATAAAGCCTAAGAAAGCAGGTTAATTAGTTTTTGCAAGCGTGGGTGGGGTTAGTTCCACCTGTGCTTGGTTACATGCTAAGGTAGATTGGTTTGTACTGCTTCTCTAATATCACTCGTGATAATATCAGAAGTCTGTACTGTCTGAATACTAAAACCAAATAGACTAGAGTGTTTTTATGAGAATAAATTAGAGGCAAATAAAATTTTAAATAACCAACATCAGCTGTGACTCTTCCTTGGTCTGTTAAAAGCAGCTTTCGGGTGTCTGGCATCAGCTGCAGCCTGGGAAAGATGGATTCTTACTCTGCTAAACCTTCCACTGGTCCCCTCCTCTGTCTGCTCCCACTGTCATTTGTCATCTGACATCTATAACCTGTTTAGTATAGACTAAATGCTGACACCCCCTTAACACTAAAACATGTCAGTAAGGCAACAGCAATATTTCTTCTCCTTGCACACTTGACCCAAAAGCTGTCCTATATAATATAAATCATTAAGGATACCATGTTTCCCCTCCTTTAATCAAGGAGTGGTTGTGACTTGTCTCACTGTTGAGATTCAACAAGCTGTTGATTTGAATCATCCAAGTGGTTTGGGTGCTGCTATTCACAGCCTCCTTGTTCAAAACAATACTAAACACCATGAAACCTGATTTTGCCAAACTCCAGCCAAACAAAACTGAAGATTTTTCAACTGTACTTGCTGTAAGAGGGTTGAACTAGCCTGAACTCCTCATAGAGGTGCACTGTGCTCGCCAGCAAACCCCTGAACTGACTATTAAAATCCCAGCAAAATCCTGCAGCTCTACCACCACACTTCTCCTCTGGGCTGCCCAAGTGATTAAACACTCCAAGACAACTCCCCTGATGCCCTTTTGCAGATTGGAGCTGATCAGGTGCAAACCAGTACCCAGTTTGTCCATGGGCTCCTTTAGAAGGTTGGAAGGTTCACATCCTTTTCCTGACAGACCTCTCTCTGTACACACAAGTCATAAATAACTGAGGTGACTTCAACCCTTTACCAGCAACGAGTGTGTCAGCTGCACCTTCACTCCTTACTCCACTTGTCACCCGCCCAAAAGCGTCACTTGGGTCGAGATGGCCCTGACTGCCCTTCCCAGCACAACTGAGTGACAGCTGAGATGGCAGAGCAAGGTTGGAAGCTGTTGTCATCCTCTAATTCCAGCCTGTGAGCAGCCCCTCTTTGCCCCTTCCCTCCAGTGAGGTTCAGCAGGGTGAGCACAGACATGAGTGACCTGAGCAAAGTCCCACCTCTGGGGTGATATCACAGCACCATGTGAACCCTCCCAGACAGCAACAGCCACAGTTACTAGGAGAGTTTGCTGTTGGGAGCAGCCCAGAATCACCAGCTGAAAAGAGGCAACAACACTTGCTCCATCTACCTGTATTTCCACACTTTTTTGGAAGACTCCCTGTGACTATCATTATTGAGTCTGACTTAGTCTAAGGAATGAATCTGAGCAAAGTAATAATACTTGAGCACAAAAATGGTTTTGAAAACATAACCAAGCCCTTAACGCCATGATCCTACAGTTAGTAGCAACCATGAGTGTGATTAGATGAGCTTTTCTCTTGTTCACATTGAGATAAACCATGGATTTGGTTTTGTGCCAACTTTATAGATGAGTGTTTGGCATGGGAAGTCGACAGCAGAGAGACAGGAAGAACTGGAAACAGCGAGCCCAGCTGAGCAGAAGCACATGTTAGTGTTCTTATCTCCTCTGACATCTCTGGAGAAATCAATTATAGGAGGCCTGAATTTAAATCACATGTTTATAAATTGGAATCGTGCTAAAACACTCTGGACTCAGAGCCAAAGGCCTGCTTCACACACTTCATTTAGCGCCGATACAACACCACAGAAGAACACGTGAACACGCCTCAGTAACAATGAACTGTGCAAACCAGAGATATTTCATTTAAGGCAGTGGAATAAGGTATTAAAGTAATAAACTGTCTGGCCCATGCTGGGTGAAATCCAGATTCACAAACAGTTGTTGTTTTGTGAATGTAAAAAGAAATGGGAATATCTTAAGGCTGCATATCTTGTGAGTGCTTCATGTAAAGAAAAGTGTTATTCCAAGGTCTGGCTTAAGTGGTCAGTTGCAAACACAGAAGAGCACAACAACTAACAAGGATTGTATAAAATA